CGTCTACGTTAAACAATCTTGCTGGGCTTAGTTTAATTTCTTGTAGGGCTTGCTCCGAAAGATCGAAAATTATCGCGCAATTCTCTTGAGTAAACCCTTTCACTCGAGCAGCTGATACGCCTGCTGTTTTCTAAAACTTAGCTGAGGATGTCTCTTTGGAAAACTCTGTTGCCACTTCCTTCCAGCACTTGATTTTCCCACAGAAAAAGGGTGTCGTAATCCGGAACGCAGGCCCTCGTTCTAGTTTTGTATTCGTCAGTACATCAACTGCCTTACCCGATTTCACATAATCAACAAGAGTGCTTCTCGGGACTCTGTATATTCCGGACGCTTTTAAGTAACCCATTTCGTTGCTTTTTACGGCATTTACTACCAGCTCCATGGCTTTTGTAACCCATGTTTTACGATGTTTTGTTTTGTTGTCGGTTCATCTATAAAAACATAAACCTATAGTTAATTACCTACTCCTGAGTAGTTCTGTTGAAATGAAAGCTGGGACGTCATCAAAAAACATTTTATCTTTGCCCAATACCAAAAGAAAGAAGGGGCCGCAGATATTTTGGGGTTGACGTCCGACGATTATTTTAAACGAACATCGTTTTAACTGGTTCCTAATATCAGATATTAAGGAACCCAAACTGTGGGCACATAACTTCGCTGAATTCATTACTTTGTTTTACGGAGAAAAATGCATTTGTCCTATGAATTTAGTATTAAGTAAAAGTCTGAAGTCTACTTGATCCGATGGTATATAATGAAAGAACAAACTCACCTTTTGGAAATAAAACGTCACTAATTAGGGAGTGTTAAAATATTCACATGTCACAAATATGTACATCAGCAGAATGGCGCACTCAACTAAATTGTAGGGTGTCTGCAATTTTAGCAAAAATGTTCTGCATCATTGTGCTCTTGATTAGTACAAAAGTTCACAAATGACGCATCCTAAGAAAAGAAATATAGCGATATCCGATATTAGGAACCTATGCGGTATTAGGCTACTTTCCTCTATGGTTTTCAAATAGTATTAACAGTAGAAATACAAAGCACAAAGCAGCAGCAAATAAAATTATCATTAAAATCTATGTCGTTCCTATTCCCTGACGTTAATTCACGCTGATATGTTTATTGTCAAATACAAACTTTTCTGTAAATGTTTTTCAATTTTTCAAATTATAGCACCATATTGAAACTAAAATTTCAATAAATAACATTTTGTTAGTAATTAGAATTATTGTCAATGGAATTTTAGTAACTCTTGTACGAGCTACCAATATCGAAACAAGGTTCCTTTTTCATATGTATTGCTGATTTATTTAGCAATTTTAGTTGATATTCGATATGTTTCTATTTTCTCTTCTTGTGTGGCGATTGAGGGTAGCATAGCTAAAATCACTTAAATTGCTGGTTTTGCACTAAGCTTTCATCTGGTGAGCTCTCTATAACAAATATAAATGACAAAGCTTTTTCCCTCAATTTTGTTATGATAAAGTAAAACAGGTCGTAGGTCCATAAAATAAAGAAAATTTGAACTCAAAATTGGGAGGCAATGGACAAATATGAAAGAAAGTAATTTAGGCAAAATTACAGATTTTTGTATTTTTGGTGGATGTGCATCTCTTACTTTTGCCCATCGACTCCGAATTCTTCAGATTTATGTTCAGTGTGAAAAATATAGTGAGACTCCTAGGACACACCACTTTTCATTTTTTGTGGACCTGTGTTATGATGTTCATCGAGTTTTCTCTAAAATTTGTCCATCATCCCCCAATTCTGACCTTAGATTCGTATTCAGCGGGAAGAATACATGGGAAAGATAATAGTGGGACCCACAGCACACACCACTTTTTTTATTTTATGGACTGCTTAATCTTTTAGTATCATAGGAATTAATCTGTCTAGTCATGTCTGTCTCATTCACGTAATGTAATGTACAGATACAGCTGAGCATTACATGGTATTACCTTATTTTCTCAATCAGTTTTGTAAAATGCGTATTTTCCAGATATATGGGGATGCTGCATGTCAAAATTGCCATGAAAATGAGGATTATGCCTACATACCAGATATAGGGATATTCGTACCATTTTAAGCATGGCAAAATTTATATACCTCTACACCGTTGTTTTTTTGACATATGTATTATAATTTTGAAAATGTCGATTTCTGGGCTTAAAAAAGAACATTTACAAATATTTACAATAGTGTCTGCGGATTTTTGAGTTTATGCAATGAGGTTATTTCATGTTAAAATTTTTGGCGGGATATTAAGTTCCTTCCAAAGTAGCCCTTTTTCAGGTACAGACATATTCACAGTGATACTTGTAACAAAATATAGAGCGAAACAACCATTGAATTAAGTTTGTGTCATCTAATAGTGACTTTTTTGTATTAGTACACCTGGTATTTTGCTCAGCTGTGTAAATGAAACCATAATGTGGAAGTTACTATTGTAAATATTATTTATGCATTTTAAAGACACAATAAAGTGTGTTGTGATCTTTTAACTCTTATCCGAACAAAGTATTTTATCAAACGTTGAAATGTTAAGCGGGCTTGTTTAAGATCCAATTATAAATTATGTTATTTTGAAATAAATATATTTAACCAATGCATTATTTTATCTCTTTTCTAGTACAAACTGAATAGGTTTTTCAGGAATGGTTCATCAAAGTTTGGAATTGGATTAGGCTGAAGAATTTGTTGCGATTTCATTTTTTAATTGATTTCTGTATTATAATTTTGGGTATATTTTTCGCATCTGCAGCACCCGCGAAAGCAGAGCCTAAATATTAAGGTACTATGATCGCTATGAGAAGATTAAGGACGTATTGCTTCGGTGCTTTTTGCATTGCTTTAGGTTAATACAAATGGAAAAAGTCTCTACCGGCAGATCGTTGCTGAATACCGAACCATAGGAACGGTCATACAGGGTGTTCATTTGAAAACCCACCACGGATTTATCGAAAACCACTGATTTAAAGAAACAACGCCGAGACACGTCAAAAGATTTGTCAAGGGGGACAACTTTTTAACCAAAATCTACTTCACCTCCTTTTCACCCTCTGCCGCCCAGGGTTATCCTCTTAAAAATTTTAAATGACAAGGGGTATCGCGTAATAGCTTGTTTGGAAGGTCTTTCGAAGTCCTTTATATTGACGTTTGATTTTTTAAATCGGCCTATTCGTTTTCAAGAAAATTAGAAAAATCTTTATTTATCTTAATTTGTTTAAGATAGAAAACAAAAACACACGAAAATATCAGTTTTTATTTCAATAAATGTTCAAAATGTTGCCAGTTATTAGCCAAACAATGATATAGGCGATGTTCAAATTCCTGACGTACATTTTCAAAACATGTCATGGTAGCTTTCAATGATTCGTTGACGAAGTTCATCCAGACTTTTAGGTTGGGGAGTAAACATAATAGATTTCAAATAGCCCCATAGAAAAATTCTAATGGCGTCAAATCAGGAGATCTAGCATTCTATAGGCGTCCTTCGCCCTATTCATTTATGTGGAAATTCGTCGTCTAGCCATTGCCGAACCGGAAGAACATAGTGAGGAGGAGCACCGTCTTGCTGGACATATATTTTAGCCTCATCAAGTATAGGGTTTCCATCCTCTTCGATTTGATTTTCAATGGTTTCAGTGATACGGGAATTGATGGTATTTTCCAACATATCCAAATAAATGTCTCCATTCAAATTTCCATTAATAAACAATGGCCCAATCACTTTGTTTCCGAAAATGCCTGCCCATACATTAATTTTTGATGGGTATGCCCTTCTACAAAAGCATGAGGATTTTCATTGCTCCAATATCTTGCAGTTATGCTTATTAACAAATCCATTTAGATGAAATGTGCATGCATCAATGAATCAAATATTCTTTGCATGAAGGGAATTATCATTAATCGAAGCAATCATTTGTTTACAAAACTCAACTCGTTTATCGAAATCATCTTCGGTTAACTCTTGCAATATTTTCATTTTGAATGGATGAAATTTATGAAGTTTAGTAACTGTGTGTACAGAGCCTAATGAAATACCAGTCGCAGCTACAATTAGCGTAATTAGAATTTATTCCAAAATGACCCCAAACTTCAACTTGAGCGGCTGAATCCAAAACTCTCCGATGATCACGTTTTTTATTTGCAAAAGATCCAGTTTGAGTAAATTTAGTAACAAGGTCCAAAACATACCTATGCGAAGTTATCTTGCATCTTTCCGAGCATATTGATTTTGAGCACCATAAATTAGAATCATTTCCACTCTTTCGGCTAGTGTGTAAACCATTTTGGAAGTAAAATCTGAATCAATAAATTAATTTTCACTATCCCAAGATTGTCACAAAGGTAACTGACAGCAAATTAAATTATTTCTTTCCCTTAACAACAAATAACTAAACAGGCATAGCATTAAATACAGTTCGCCCAGGATATCTGTGTTGATGAAAACAATGCGGAAAAAATCAGTTTGTTATTTGCTTGTTACCACGTCTAATCCTCCGAATTGCTGTTTATGGTGGTAGTTTCCGTTTTAAATTATAAACGAATTGTAGATTTGGTAGACCCTAACGGGCAACATTTTGAACACTTATTGAAATAAAAAGCGATATTTTCGTGTGTTTTTGTTTTCTGTGTGAACAAATTAAGATAAATAAAGATTTTTCTAATTTTCTCGAAAACGAGTCGACTAATTTAAAAAATCAAACGTCAAAATAAATGACTTCGAAAGACCTTTCAAACAAGCTTTTCAAACAAGGGGGTGAAGTAGGTTTTGGTTAAAAAGTTGTCTCCCTTGGCAAATCTTTTGACGTGTCTCGGTGTTTTTTCTTTTAATCAGTGTTTTTCGATAAATTCGTGGTGGGAAGTTTTCAAATGAACACCCTGTGTTGGTCAATACTTGTCAAGAGTTAGGATGAGAAGCAGATGCCTAGAGCGCAGAAGCATCATGGAGAAAATCTGGAATGACGTGGTTGAATTAAAAACACATTATGTTTTAATAAAACTTCTTATTAGATGGATTTAATAATATACAATGGTTAATACATAAATATAACAACATGAAATGAGTACAAACGACGTTCAAAAATCATGATAACTCAGTCTCAAAGTGTGAACAATGTTTTTGACTTTGAAATATATCAGACGCTTGCACTCAGGCTCAATGAAATAACATTACAAGGATGTGTTTGGAAATGAAACAACAACTATTCTATTCTCCATAACCTTTAAGGTCAAACTCCTCTTTTTTATATTATTTATGGCTTTCCCTGTACGTAGACCATCTAACGTCAAGGGTGGTTGTACATATGATATAGTGTTGATTAAATCACAGCTTATTTGAGAATGAAACAACTATGGATCATCTCTTCGGACAGAATTTTTAGGTCCAAGTACAGGGTGGCCAATATATAGGGTGATTCAAATTGGGTTTCCACATTAAAAGTATTTAAAAAAAGAAGAAATTGAAAATTATAAAAAAGTATGTATTTGTCGTTTCAGGGCAGTTCATTACAATTATGCATGGAATATGATATCAAGTAAATGACCGCCACGGCCTCATGTGGCATGACGTAATCCGTTTCGAGAAATTTTCGAGTACTCCGTAGCACAAATCAGATCCTATGTTAGTAATTTCGCGTCTGAACTACTGTTTCAGCTCCGCAATTGTTATCGGATTCTTTTTGTAGACTTTGCCCTTGAAATACCCCCAAAGAAAATAATCGCGACCTGGAAACTTGCCGCGCAGTAATTGTATCGTTTCCCCTGAAATAGGCTTCAAGCCTGTGTTATTTGGACTCTAAAAGGGTGTAACTTCAAATATTTTATTAAAATGCGCTGTGTAGTGGAATAAGAAAAGTCCAGTTGCTGCGATCGATGACGAATCGAGGTTCTTGGATTTTCGGCAACAATAGCAATATTGTGTTCCGACCTACCACTACGAGCACGCCTAGAGGTTTTGGTGTTAGTGTCGGATCCGTTTGCTCGAATTTTTGCACCAAATTCCTAACTGTCCTCTCACAAGGCCGATTTTGTGAGACAAAAAATTCACGTAAAGCACGAAATGTATGCTTCCTTGATCGGCCCTTTTCATTATAGGCTTGGATAATTTTAACACATTGTTCGGTCATATATTGCTTCATGACTGATTTGTTTATATTTTGACGTTAGAAATGGCACGTTGTTAACAAATTCAGTGGTGTTTCAAAAAAAATTATTTGTAATGTGGAAACTCAATTTGAATCACCCATTATAACAGACTGATTTAAATTGCGCGCTATTTTTGATACAGGCATTTCAGTAGGTGGCGCCATTCGAAAGGAAATGTTTCTATCTGCATTCTGTCAAGATATTATTTCTCAAACCCCGGCATTTACTTACATTACTTTAGAGCATCAAAAACTCAGTTCACTTTCAATACATCGCCAGTTGCAGATGTTTGTTTGAAAAAATCGCCAAGTGCGTGTGACCAATGTGAAAGTCGTATTTTGGTCTCCTGACCGTGTGTTTCGATTCACAGGGTTTCGTGCCATTTGCTGGCATTCTCAGCATTGTGGTTAAAAACATTTGATTTTGGCTGCAAAGCCCGCCATTTTACACACTTATTTTCAAACTCCGCCAACTGCATTTTATTTTTCTTATTTGACGGTGCTAATGCTCTCTTTGTTGTAATATGATGAATGATATGCATTAAGAAGCAGTATCTACATCAACAAGATATTAAAGTAAGTTCATTTTGTGGATAGTATAACTCAAAACAGTTTTCCGCGTTTTTCTTGGAACTGTATGGTTTGCACTTGGCGGGGTTTGCATTCAGATGGCTCATGTGTCCAATCCATCATGGAGCGCTACACGATCCCACAACGCCTCCGTATTGTTAAAACGTTTTACTTGAATAATGAGTCTATTGTTGCAACGATTCGGAAGCTACGACAAGATTTCGGTCGAAATAATGTGCCCAGTGTCAACACCATTCGTCAGTTGGTGCGGAAATTTGAACAAACAGGTGAAGGTAAAGACTTGCCAAGGTCGGGCCGTGTTTGACCTGTTCATACTCCGGAAAATATTGAAATTGTAGTGGAGTGCCTTAAGACGTCAGTTATCCCAAGAACTACAGCCTAGTGACCATGAAAGTCGCCGACAATACAGTCATGTAACATTGCAGCTTAATACCCAAAATAACGATTTTTACCGACAAGTGATAATGAGCGATGAAGACCACCTCGATATGAACGGATTTGTTAATAAGCAGAATTGTCGTGTCTGGGCATTAGGTAGCCTTCGAGTCATCCATCAACGACCACTACATCCTCGTCGAGTCACAGTTTGGTGCGGAGTTTGGTATATAGGTAATTCTCTTACTGTCACTGGCGAGCGCTACCGTGATATGGTGCAAAACTTTCTGGTTTCTCAAATCCAACAATTTAACCTGCAAAACATGTGGTTCCAGCAGGACAGAGCAACTGGTCACACAGCTAGGGAAACAATGAATCTTTTGCGAACAATATTTCCGGGACGTTTAATTTCTCGATTTGGTGATGTCAACTGGCCACCAAGGTCACCGGATTTAACGGCTCCTGACTTTTATGGGGATTTTTGAAAAATGGGGTTTATGCCAACAAACCGAATACTAAAAACAATATTACGGAAACGATTGAAAATATTCCTCCCGAAACCTACCAAAAAGTGATGGAAAATATTCCAGAGGGTTCAGGTTTGCGCAGCTTCTATAGGCGGACATTTGTCTGATATTATTTTTCATACATAATTTCTAAGTTTCAATAAAACATTAAGATGAAATAAATGGACGTATTCTATTTCATTTCACAAATATTCAAGATACAAACCAGTCAGTTACATATCGGCCACCCTGTAACTCTCGTATTAATCCTTTACTGCCGGTTTATGCATATCATTGCAAATTATTGGTTTTTCATTAACACTAACATTGAATACTGCAAAACCAGTTACTTTGCTTTTAGTGAATGCGACAAAATCTGTTACTTTGCTTTTCAGAACTAGTTACAGTAACAGTTTTTTATTGAATGTAGGGACTAGACATGGTAGATTGATTTGTGCTGAAGAAGATTCAAAACGGACGATACCGTAGAATTGTTCAGAACATTACATTTTTATTATGAAATGTATTTTTTTACATAAACGCCTTTTATTTTATCGTAGACCTTCGACTTCATGATAACCCGTTCATTGTTGGATTTTCCAGATCAGATTTCTTCAGGCCGAGCATGTCAGTAGAAGGGACATGAACTGCTTGCAGTACAGGTGGTTAGTGAGAGCGAATCACATGGAAGATAATCAGGGGTGCGTACCTTAGTCACAGATGAGTTTACAAGGATGCAGGATAACCAGGATATATAAATGCCACTCTAGTGTTAGGTGCGCACCAAGCGCCATTGCAAAAAATGTCTCTGTTGCCAGCTGCAACCTTAAAAGGTAGTAAATTCTAGGAAAGCCAAGTAATTTCTCAATCTGACGATGCTTTTAAATATGACGATATACGCACAGATCTCGTACACGTATGTTTCATTAATTTAAATGAATACAGTACAGTCGAAATAATTAAGTATTAGTAAAATTGCAAAATTCCCAGCAAATATAGTTTAATAATAAAATAATTATGGTAAAAATGCTAATTAATACAAAACTTTTTCAGTATTCACAAATTTAATCATTTACACATGGTATATAAATATGCGTTTTCCATTTCAGCATTCTCAAAAATGAGTTGAATAAGTGCTTATAATATATATGTACAATTACGCCCCAAATTACAAAGTTCTAGTTTTTGAGTGTCCGTTGCAGATTTCGAAGGAATCAGATCGCGTACTAAAAGGTATTGAACAAATAGCATTTATTGCTATCAACTAAAGTAGTTTCATCTCTCATATTAAAATATCGTTTCGTCAATCACAAAAAATCGATTCTAGTTCGTCATGAGTCAGCATTCAGTGACTAATTCAACATAAGTAGCTGGAAATATCCCCACGTTTCCATTGCATTCGCCCAGCCACCATCCGTCGTCTTGCTGTCTGTAGACTGTCAAACTGTCACCAGGTTTGAGTGCCAGCTCGTCAGGCATGTTGGGTTTGTAAGGGTAGATAGCCTTGCAAGTGGCTATCGGTTTGATGGCAATCTCTTCGGGATAGCAGCGGTTACCGCCTCCTGCGCTTGACTGGGAGGAGAACTCGTCTGAAAACAAAGTGGTGGCAGATTATGGAAGATGGTAGATACATACGAGTATACATCTTCCCAGGCCAAAGTAAACATGTTAATATTTGTTATACAGGATGAAATCATTGGGAATATTTACCTACACAGCAGAAAATATATCAGAAAATGACACGAAATGATCCCGGAAAATGTCTTCAAAATGAGCGTGTTCATTCAACGTGAAGTGGTGCAGCCCTTTTATGCTGTATATCAGTAACTATGGAATAACTGTCAGATTGACAGCCGTTTTCACTGGGCTGTCGGATTTCATCGACCAAACGTTCAACATCAACGCGCTACAATGTTTTATGTTGGCTGAACGCATTCCATGTTTTGTTATTCTTATTTACCAAAGTTTGAATTGAGTTGTAGAATTGGTGGTTGGATTTAGAATCTAAAAGACGTACTACTCGCAAGCAGGAAGACATGTTCCTATGAAAAGTCTCCAAGGGCTAGAATAGGTGTACAGCTTCACTATTGAGCAGCGGGAAGCAAAATTTGTGCCTGTGGCGTAAATTCGACCAACCAAAAAGGATTTTCGGCGGACATGTTGATGGATTATTAAAAATAGATCATTTTCTAAAATACCTTTCTCAGGTGACTAGCAACACTGTTATTTTCAATAAAACACTCGGTAATAGCTGCCACATCGATCTATTGAATTAGGTTTGATCTATGTTTCGAACGGACCGCATATCCTCCACAGTAATTAATCTAACACAAATAACAAGCAAGGCTAATCCAATGTCAGTACATCTCGACGATAAGTGTTTTTGGTAAACTTTATACAAAATAATCGAAACAAAATTTATTATTATAATATGTAATAATATCTTATTAAAAAAATTGACAACCTTTACAGTAGGGTATGGTATAGGATATTCGTCCGGTTGGGGACATGGTTTTTCATGGGTTACTAGTAAATTCAGTTAATGCGTATGAAGTTACTGATTTGCAATTGAGAATGCTTACCAAAGTCTGAGTCCGGTTGATTGGAATTGCCATCCGCTGCTCCACGGTCCAACCATTCGTGATCATCAACGTCGTTTATATGTGGATCGGAATTGTCGGATTTATCCGAGTTATTAGACTTCAGTGACTTTTCACTCAAGGGACTTTTATCCGTTTCGCACCATTCATCCCTCAACCACTGAGGTACCTAAAAACAGAGCAAGTGAACATGAGGGAACAAAATAACCTACAGTTTAGTTTTGATCCACATTTGAACTGAATGTTCTTGCGGTAAGATCTCGGTAGAAATTAATTTTAAGAATTGTTTAGTCTTGTCGCTCCGCTAATAAAGTCGGTATGTAGCATGTATGACTAAAACACTTATCTTAGATTAGAGAGAGCTTCTCTCAAGGTATGCGTCGACTAGCCCGCAAGGCACGCAAAATGTTCGAATGGACGGTGTTCATGTGGTCGCACTGTTTATTGAGGCATCCTATCAAAATCCGTTTGGTGCCGTGCGTGCAGTATTGCGGTATATGTACCTTCAGTAGATGCGAGCGAGTCGACATGTATGTCTATGGGGTAGATGAAATCCACCCACTCTATTAAATGTTGAATGTTACTTGGCATATTTTTGTGAGCAATGTTTCAAAGAAGTTCTGACCCACATTTAGCACGTTTTTATACTTACTTTGAGAACGCTTTGCTGAAGTCCGGATTTATCTCTTGTAACGGTTATGTGTGGTGCTAACGGATGACCTATTCGCGGTCGAGAGTCTAGTTCTGCCAAAGCACTTTGTACTTTATATCTGGCACCTTCCAGATATGTCAACATTGATTTCATCTGAAAATGTTAGTTGTAAATAGTCAGTATATGTACAATACCGTTCAAAAGTATTTGAACACCTGCATATTTCCAATTAAAATCATAACAAACAAACAAAAAAACTATTCAGTACGTATTTATTTTTCTTTATTTATTGATAACCGTCACCATGGAGATCAAGCATCACTGAAAGGTCATTGAAATCAAAATTGTGCTCACACAATAGTGTGATGGGATCTCATCATTAGCCATAATAGGAATTTCTTTGAATTTAGAATAGTGTTATGTTTATGTATAGGTATTCTTTCTCAGGTTTTGTTTTTCGATTATTTCTTTTGATTTGTGTTGTACGTAAACCCATAACACAGTTTTACTTCAGTTCTCTTGTCTAATTTGATAAACTAACCATGCTTATAGTTCAAGATTGTTCAACAAGTGCGTTTTCGTTTATTTTTTTCTGGACAAAATAGGAAAACTAAAGCATATTCCGAGCAGGTAAAAGGAGTTATTATTGGTCTTCATAAATCCGGCAAAAGTATTCGAAAAATTTCTAAACTTCAGAAGATACCACTGTCATCTCTGTACACTACGTTATTAAGACTTCCGGACGTAAACTCACTCCTCTATCGGAATGTCCGGGTGAAGGGTGGGCTCGAGGGAACAACATCGAAGATAAAATTTGTTTTACGAACATCTGCGGGATTAACGGCAATATTGATGCTGTTCATCACTACCTGCAATCAAATCGTCCCGCCATGCTTTTCTTGGCGGAATCAAAAATCTCAGAGTCTACACCGATTAATTATCTTAGCTTCCCAAATTACGAGATGAACTCCAATCTGAGAAAGAACGGGGGAGTGGTTTTTGTCCGCAGCAGTCTTTCCTGCTCCAGAGATGTTTCTTTGCTTATCGCTCTCCCGCGGACCATAACTGGGATGACCTACTCGAATACCTCGCCGTCAAGATCGACTTCCTGAACATCAATCATCCCGCCTCAGAGGTAGTTCTTCTCGGTGATTTCAATGCCCATAATGAGCTTTGGTTGGGCTCAAACAAGACCGATGCAGTAGGTCATGCAGTCGAAGCGTTCGCTCTTACTCAAGGGCTGACCCAGCTGAGGACGAGCCCTGCTTTTTCCCCCGCGTCTCGTCACATGCCAGTAACCTGCTGGATCTTTTTCTGACCACGCATCCTGTCCCTTACAGCACTGCTGTCCTGTCCCACGTGGGTAACTCAGACCACGGTGATATGGAGGTGTTAGATTTCGGTCAGAATCCGCTGTGGCAGCAGAAACTCGTACAGGTCGCAAAACTTGGCATTACGGACATGCCGACTGGGAGAGGCTCAGAGACTTCTTCTCTACCTTTCCTTGGAGAGATTATCCTAACCGTGTCGAACTTGTACATCCAGAACTGGCCGATATGACCGCTCCTTTGTCCCGAGGGTGTCGAGATTGTGAAACAATCTACAAGAGGAAGCTTTTCCCGGTTCTACTAACCTTAGGCAGTTCAAAAATCGTAATAACAGAATTTCTTTGGGATCATCATAGCAGCCGCGGTGTCCCGGCAGTTAGGGTTCTGCCTGCGCGGCTGCGTCGATATAAAAAAAAGATATTTAAGGCTCAAGGCACAACATCCAAAAGCCGTCGTTCAGGGAGACCCAGAGTTACTTCCACTGAAGACTTAAGCATATTAGAGAAAAGTAAACACAATAGACGCATGATTGCACCCGAAATAGCAGCGGACTTGCATGTGGGCATTAGTAAACCTGTAAGTGTGGCTACAGTTAAGAGAAGGTTACTCGAAGCTGGACTTAAGGCATGTATAGCAGTATCGAAACCACTCCTCAGGGCTACTAAAAAAAAAGAGATCAATTGGGCCAAACAACATTGAAATTGGACAGATGCTGAGTGGAAAAAGGTCCTCTGGAGCGATGAATCAAAATTCGAAGTTTTTGCTTCCAAAAGAAGAGAATTTATGCACCATCGGCACGGTGGAGGCTCTAAAATGATTTGGGGCTGTTCTGGTGGTTCCGCTGTGGAGGATATTGCGAGAGTACAAGGAAAATACTGAATAAAGAAGGTTACAAAGCCACACTACAAAATCATGTTGTGCCTTCTGGGACTTGTTTATTGATCCGGGGTTTGTCTTTCAGCATGATAATAACCCGAAAGCCACATCCAAGCTCTGCTAATATGTTTTGGGAGCAAAAGAAGATCAAAATATTTTGAAAGTCATAGAATGGCCTCCCCAATCCTTGTATTTGAATTCGATAGAGTTGCTGTGGGATGAACTGGATATACATATATGGAAATGTTGTCGTACGTCTCAACAACACTTATGGAGAATATTACAAGACGAATGGCGAAAAATAACCCCATCCGCTTTAGAAAAATTAGTTGCGCTTTACCCATAATTTGCCAGGCTGTAATTAAAAGGGAAGGAGGACATACTGATGAGTCAAAAATATGATTATTTTGATTATAAATAGCTATATGTTGTTAAGAATTAAGAAAATAAATGTTTCATACAGATATTGTAATAGTTTTTTTATACTCCAACTACCATGAAGGCCTAAGGCCTAAACACCCATGGGGTACCGCGGGGCTATAAGGGAATACAGGGGAGAGGGGAGAGACTCCACACGGACTCTGGCGAGGGGATCACGTGTGCATGCAACATGCACACATTCTCACCCCGCCTACGAGATCCGCCGAGTGGTACCTCCGCGTTCGACAGTCAGAGACCGTCTACCACCTACGGACAATCGTAACATCCATAGCCAAGAAAAAAGTTATCTTCTCTTAGGACGCGATTCGAAGCCGCGCAGCGCACAGCGACTGATCAGGAGACTGAAGAGTTTACCACTGCGGCCACCGCTGCTGCCTTTATTTAATAACTTCCATCACTTCCTGTTTTTTGGGTGTTCAAATACTTTTGAACGGTAGTATATGTACTACAAAGAATTGTAAATTTTTTACGTATCAATGCTCAACTTACATGGTATAGTTTTTCTGATACGCTCTGCTGGGAGTCGTCGGAACCAAAACTGGGTGTTTGTTTAATCGCCTTGCATAAGTTTTCTAAACCATTCTTTGACTTCCTTTCCCGTTCTATGTCTTGCCTGATGAGGTGTAGTAGCTTGACAAGTGCCTATAAAAACGTATTTCATGAAGCCTTTTAGTCAGTGCCACGAATGTTTACATATAGAGGCGGCTAAATGTTTGAGCTTTGCCAGTTTGTCACTTATACCTTAAATAATATACTTTAACTCAATAGACCAGAAGGTAGGTAAAATTAATATAATAAATTGTGCTGTTACTAGGAACCTCGCCAGTGACGGGTATACAAAGCAGGATGTTTTTGCTTCCTTAAAAATATGTGCAGAACAATCATGGAAAATTCTGAAAAGACAAGATGCTCTATATTATTTTATTCCAGTGAGATCATATTATTGATGCCGGCAGAAGCTTTGCCATTTAAAGTTTATAGCTGTTTATAGATATCAAAAAATTATATTTGAAAAATAGCTGATGAATACCTCAACAGGTAGTTGCTTACCTGTTTCCGCCTCTCTCTGTTCATCGCCAAAGTTATGTGCTCACAGTAGAAGTCGGGTAACAATTGTTCTGAAACTTGTTGGGACGTATGTCGCAAGTTTTGGAAAGTTGCAAGGTCTTTGGTGGAATCAGCTTGGGAAACAGGATTTTTTAATCGATCGGTTGCCTGAAAATTCGTCAAAATTTTTGCTTATTACTTCATAATATACCGACAAAGAAATTGGGATAATAGTTCCAAATCTACGTAAGAATTACTCCAGGCCGAGGGTTATCAGTACTTTGACGCTATTATATTTATGAATGGTGAAACGTAACTTCATAGCTCTAAAGACTTAACGCAGGTTTTTGTTCCTTCTGGCAAAACGTGTTCATAACAATTTCTTACAAACAAATTCCAAATCACTGGCTTAGGAAGCTTAAATTGTTGCAAGCTGCAAGTATTTTGTCAAAGAAAAGGCTGCGACTAGCATTCTTCTAACCAACTCATCCTCATAAGCCGGTCTTAAGTGTCATAGCTAGTCACTTAATTAAATATCTTATTACTAAAGTATTGCCTCTTTAAAATATAATGCTCACCTCAATTAACCTAGGAATGAGTTCATTGTTGTGATGCAGGTACGACGTCAGAACGGACTTAAGATTATTCAGCCTTTCCTCTTCCAGTGATTGGAAAGTGGCGGACCCTCGTACAACTGCCGATTCCCATTCCAGTCTAAATAAATAGATTTTGAACATTAAAATGAAATCTTGACTTTTTCATTGATATTCATTGGTCGTACATGTGTCTTTATACGAATATGTGCCCTCAGTTTGAATGCAGAGCATTTTTAGGTACATATAGGAGTTTGTTGGAAATGAGGAGACACGATCCAAATCACGATCGTTTGGTCGTCATATTCTAAAAATGACAGTTAGATTCTACAGCCGTTATTCGACTTATCTTCGTAATCAGTGAACCGATTTTAATTTTTTTAACTACAAGTATATAAGCATTGTTGGTTGCATATGTTTTGTAAAGCCGAGTGGTCTCTAGTTTTCATCTCTGACTCTCTGAGAAGACAGTTGGTTATTTGATTGAATAGAAAGATCGCATCTGGATGATTGTGTGTATTGGTCTGCATGTGTATAAAATCAGTAATATTTGCTGTGTGAGAAAATCATTACCGAATATGCTACCAATGAAGTATATCTATTAAGTGCCTTACGAGTTATTTATATGTTGTCCTTTCGGAAGACAGGTTTTGTTCAAAGTTATCGATCACGATTTTTTACGTTTTTTGTGTTTTCAAAAACTTTGAGGAGAATTACGGGAAATCACCACCGCGCCCGCGTTGTGTGTACTTACTGTTAGCATGTATATGACTTGCAATTCGACAGTGTCCAGTGAATACAATTATTTCTTATCTCTCTCATTTTTTAAATTCAGCAATTTGCATATCTAATTTCCAGAATGGATAAGAAAAAGTGAATGCGCATCTAATTTCTAGCTTTGAATCTCAAGTAAGTGAATTTGAAACAAAAATCCAATGGAATTATTATCAACACATATTATTAGCACACAAATCCTCACTATGCACCTATGCATTGCCGTTACCTCCAGTAATGCCAACTCTGAAGCAGATTTTACATCACATCAGAGCCAACCATTGATAACTGAAGCCTCATGACGTTTAGACAACCACAAAACGAGTTCACAACGTATCCATCAGCTAGTGCTAAGTTAACATCTTGTAGAAAAACCTACCATGTCGAATGCTGTTTTATGCCATATTTAAAACTGGCACTGGTTACGAAGGTATATTGATTAACCGTTATATAACTTGACGGCCAAGCAACCACGATTTGGATCGCGTGAACCCGTTTTTTATATACTTCTATGGGCGTTTAATAATGGCCCGCACGCAAACTGTGGGCAGATATAATATTCACACATGACCTTAGTGGTTGGCCCTAGACCTTGAAAGATTTTGTATCGCTTCCATATTGCGGTGTTTTGTTTTTAAAATGCGCGCCTCAGTCGTTGTGCATGCGCATCTATCGCGGAAGAAGCAGAAATAATTCTCTCCGCCGACCTTCTCATCAAGGGAGCATTGTGCGAAGGTCGGGGAATCAAGGCCATCGCCAAGGAGAGACTTAACAATTCATACTTTTTCCGTTCTCCGTATCAGCTTGCACCAACCCTCCAGTGTCATCGCAATTAGTAACAAAATATTTTTCTCCAAAAATGAATAAAATGAACTTTAAAAAGTTAAAATCGGCCCACTCGTTTCGAAGATATGTTGAATAATCGTTTTAGAACTTAACGGCCATTTTGTAAATATGGGGGCCTAACGACATTGATTTGGACCACACGACCTGATTTTTCACATACTCCTATAGTTGCCTAACAATGCCCCGCATTCAAACTGATAGCACATATAAGGGCATACGTGACCTTTGTGACTGCTTCCCGATTGAACCATTTATTAATTTGTTTCAGTAAAAACTAAATATCGTGTGGCGAATATCACACAATTAATATTGTCCGTGCCATCAGTGTTTACTGATAATTCCGTCAATGCCAGTGGATTTCCACGTAACCGCAAATAACTGACATTGTGGTCAATAGATGTCAAATTGTATGGGTTACAGTAAATACTGACCGTGTAGCATTTGCCTATAATAGTTGTCTTTAACTGCACCACATTTGCCGTTGATAACTTTCCATATCGAGAAGTACTTTTGTAATGCTTCTTACCTTGCTCTCTCTGCTCTAACACATAATGTATAATACTCAATATCCGCTTTTTTCACAGCATCTTCAGCTTTCTTCTTCTTACCTTCCAACTAGAAATAAAGATGGTTAAGAATACCTACTCATTATTCTATCTGCTATTCCATATACAATTATTTTTCTGTCTATATACTTATCTAGTAATCCATTTTTATTATATATTTAACATATTTGAAAAATTGCTAACCGCATACACAAGATAACTAATGCTTTCGATGGTATTCATGTCCTAGATTCTAATGGTAGTAGCTGTGTATAAATCATTAATTTCAAGAGTCATGGTGAAAACTGTAGCAATAGTGAATAGATGCATGTAATAATATTCAAGGAAATCTTATTTGTCCTAACATTTTTTATGATGAACCAATAACGTGTAGCTATATTCATTATTTGTAATTAGTTTTTGAGCATATAATCCGATTTTAACACATGCCATGGTGTGTTTTTCTACCTCCCGTGGCTTGGAAGAAAAATGAACCAAATTGAAGGCTTTAATCATATATCAACCAAATCACTAAAAATAAAATCATTACGCCTGTATGCACATTGCGTAATATGTTTTACATAATGATGTATAATGTATACTGACCTTCGCATTATCTTTGTCTGCACTATTTTGTTTGCTGTGCAAATGTGCCAAGTGGATTAAACTACTGCTTTTCGAAATCCTGAAAAAAAAAAACAATTGAAAGGAAAAATGCGGGCATCAAAGTATTTATTTTACAGAATTTGCACGATGACAAATAAACTTAGATTTCTTTGCATTCACGCTCGATACACATTGGATGATTTCTATTGCAACAAATTAGTCATTCCTGATAATACGATAAAACGTGTCTAAGCATCAGCATATAGAGGCATTATTGCTGCTGAAATTTTTGCGAAAAACAACCTAAAAATTCATGGAAAAGGATCCTCTCTTATTTTACTTATACTATGGATAAGCTATATCGTTGCCGCAGAAATCATACAATTTGTAATGAGCGAAAATAAACCATAACTCTCAAAAAGAATAGTGTTTTTGCCTTGAATTCAAATCATTTTATATGAGTTTTCGCAAACTCGTATCATCTTTTTTTAAATCAACAAAGTTTCTTACGCTGTCACCACTGATAGTTTATACTTTATGATACAGTAGTTGTTATCAAAATTATCTCAAGAGATTTCATTTCATCTACGACTGGGGGTACCTAAGTGTACTTCATCAATTGAATAGGTTTTACCTGCGTTAAGACGAACTTTTCACAATACGTGTCGAGGAAAATATGGCTAAAACGGACTGTCATTTGTTTGTTGGTAAACAACGCAACGGCGCAACTGCCGGTGATACAACAGCACGATCAATTTATTTGTTTTTAATCCCACCTAAAAGCTGCTCTATATTTTTGGCTTTGCCGGTGAAATGTAATGTAATAACTATTTTTCTTGAAAATGATTTCAATATTTTCCTGTGGGTTTTGAGATGAAATTGGACTTACGTTTGTTTTCCGAACTTTGTGTTATCCAAAACAGCGGCGTCTTGAAGCTTTTCGTTTTCCCTGGCACATACGTGACTGTGCTTTTTTCCTTTCGCCTCTGCTGCCCTCCAGTCAGACAGTAGCTTAGCTGCTTTGTCTACCGAAGACTCTGACTGTTTTCTGATCCTGTTTTAACAGAAATATTAATCATTTTATTTATTACTACACTCCTCAAGAAGAAACAGCGGCCCAAACACGATCAGAACTAAGATCAGATCCACAAACATATACATAATCAGATTCTCAGTTAGATAAACAATCAGATCCACAATTCGATCCACAGATTTAATTCAGCAGAACAGATCAATTTCTGGGTACTAACTGGCGAAGCCATTAGTCCTACATATTATGGATTCGTACGAATTTCATAAGTGGCCTAGCTCGTAACTAGCGACAGTTCCTTCTGCAAATCTCACTCGCCACATATCAGGCTTCCCGGATTATCAACTGGTTTGGAGGGCTGCCACTACCTTTTTCCCACAGATATAGATAGAATGTGCTTTGCTCCCACAAACTTGATTGTTTGGATGTTTGGGCTAGTACTTTTGGAAACGATTGTTTAAGTTCAGACTATCTTTCGACTTTGAACTTATAACTTACCTATGCTGGTTCTCAGTGAGAGTCTTCAACGGCTTGGCAATTTCCTCCAAAAGAGCATTGCCCATGATTTTATGGGCTTCGGCCCTTGCTTCGAGTTCTTGTGCTACAGACTTCCATGCCTCATTGACTCCTCCTACGCTGTCTCTGCATGCTCGAGACAACTTGGCACTTAACTTGGACAGACTCTTCGCATACTGGGTTTCTGCCTCTGACCTGTAAAATGTTAAGTATGATGAATTCCCTCCAAACTTTTTTACTGTCCTTCTTTGATGAAAATACTCATAGTTCTCAATAGGAGTAGACTTCCTAGTAATAGTGATCATTTAGTATTGTTCTACACTTGTTACTGTTCGTCGATATTGTGTTGTTGAATTGTTGTGTTGTACTCTTGTTGGTGTGATTGTTCTTGAGTGAATTTTTTATCAAGGTTGATAATGGACAATAAAAGGTCATATGCGACAATTTTAATTACGAATTCAGTGAGTTTAATTCAAGATGATGACAACAATAGTGTGGAGCAGTTCAACTGTATAATCGCAAAATACATTGGGGTAAGCGAATAAATTATTGCAAGAAGAGGTTATACCATGGAAGATGTGCTGCAGCTGTAGTGAGCCACAAAACCGATCGGCCTGTCTATGTGGTCCAAATACATTTGCGTTCTAAGCTTAGTCCAACCTCGCTTATCACTAAGATGGAACAAAGACTCAAACGCAAGAATCTTGGAAAGAAACTCAGACCAAAAAAAGTTGATATAAAAATAACTAGCAATTCGGATAGCAATTCCAAAGAAAATATATAATAGTCTTATGGCGAATTCTGTCAAAAACCTGACATGAACGACATGGAGGTTGCTAAGCAAGAATTTTTAGGGAAACTTAGAAAAAGTGACGACGAGATTTTGCATATCGAACAAGTCACCAAATCACAGGACTGTGCTTTGTGGCGTCTTCATCGGATGATAAGGTTGACAGCTTCTCGATTTGGTGAAGTTTGTAGAAGAAGGCAGACAACAAGCTGTGAAGTTCTAGGCAATTATGGCCTGCTTATATCCAGAAAAAAATTACAAACTGCAGAACACAAAAGGTAACGGCGAAATGGGTACATTTCACGGGTTATGAAATTCAAATGAAAATGCAGGAAAAATCTACCAAATGATGGTTCTCAAAAACATATTTGCTTGACATATCGATAATTTTAAAGTTCCAGGCTAAATTTCCCTATACTTGACTGGAGTGATATCCGAATTTATTCTTCCCTACTGTCAGTAGTTGCAGATCTGTTGGATGTTGGTGTCAAACCTATAGAGCGGGTACCGATTTTTTGAAATCGTCACCATATTATTCGTCGGATTTTCGATACTTCCTGTAATCACTGGGATCAGACCCCCCCCCCCTTTTTAAGCAGTACCATTTTTTATGTCAATGATTAGGAACCCCTGAAACGTCAAAAACGGAGTTTCAGCAATTGTTACTTTTTCTTTTTTGCCTATAGCACCGTTGTCACTGGACTAAAACTACAAAGCTTTGGCATACTAGTAACCGCATGTGGAAATTTCATAAAAATCCGAGCGGTAATTTCCAAGTGGATGATGAGTCATACAGTTTTTCGTGATGTAAATGTCATATGACTTAAAAAAACATCTCATTTTAGAACTTTTTCGCGATTACAATACTTTCCCGCCAACGACGTAGGAAGTAAAACGGCTTTAAAATCGAGCAGTATCAGCGATCGCGATTATGAGTACCTATTTGCAGAACGACTTATCTACGCGATATTATAGGTATGAAATAGGGCCACCAAATTATCTGAATACGTCCTTTCTTAGTCCGTACATTGAGCCGCAACGCTTGGTTTGGCAGCACGAAACAGTAGACAAAATTCGACCAAAATACGATTTGTAGACGTTTGCGCGCTTCAAAATTGACGCTTTATTTTTTGATATTTTTGGATGAAATTTTCACAGAGTGCTGAAAACAAAACCCCACAGGGTGCTATAGAGCCACTTTTTCATTTTTTCACTAGGTTCTTTTTAAAAAAATCGTGAAGTTGAACAGAAAAAGTGCGCACTTCAACCCATCATAAAACTTGAGCAAAAACAAAATTTCAAAAAGTGCTCCTATAGCACCCTGGGCAATTATCTTCCCAACATACTGTATGAATTTCATTCAAAAATATTGAGAAATGGAGTGTCAGTTTTGAAGCAGCTGAACCCTTGTAAATGGCTTGGAACTCACTGCGTCGGAGCCGCCTTAATGCCTACCATCGATTCACCGAGTTAAAAAATCCAGTATTTGAAGAAATACATCTCAGTAACGACGCTGTAAAGCATAAGTTCGAATAAGCTTTTTTGTTCAGTTTGCTGAATAACCGTATACATAAAAAACCCCAAAATGAATCGATAAACTTTTTAATGTACAGTATTTTAAATATGTTCCACCAAAAAGCGCAAAAATTCATCCAGTGTAGTTGGATTCCGAGGTTTGAATCTAAGGTGTTCACTTTGCCCAGGACGCCCCCTACATTTTGTACTCAATCAGCACCCTTCGAAGTTTCGACAAATTCTGATAGTCTCTTGCCCTGATTACTTCAATAAGCTTATGAAGTTCAACAGAAAAAATGTAGCTCAACATCTAGAGCCTAGATAATTTGAATCGTTATGCAATTTTTCAATTTTTGATTATTCCTTATGGGGCTTTATGTGGAAAAAGTTATCCTTGCAATAAATACATTTTGCCTCTTTTTTGGCTCAACTCTAACGGCCGGGAATGATAACCTTCTCAAATAAAAGGTTCTCAAGCTTAGCATGTCTGAAATAACAAACTTATACATACCTTTCCTGTAAAATGGTGGCCAGCTCCTTGCAGAAATCACTACCCTGCTTGACATATCTCCGAAGATCCTCGAATCCATTTTGACCCTGAAATTAAAATAATATTAATTAAAATTATGTAATGATCAGGCAACAGGTACAGAAAAATAGTTCAATGAACAATAAAAAATATCATATGGAAAAAAATTAAATCATTAAAATAGCAACCTCGTGTATAATAAATACAGTTGATGAATATTATATGGCACACCTTCTACACACATTATAAAAGATGTAGGTTACATGTGACAAAATAGCTGTTATAGAGACTTTATAGGTAATATATTCACAGAAAACATTCATGTTCCCACAGTTTATGATAAATAATAGACGATCTAGTTATCACTTGACATTCCTAGTGTATCTGATAATTTTTAATACCTCCGACCTCTATAATATTCATATAACTTACGTTATTAATCCAGAAATTTAATATGGTTAAAAATAAGATGCTAAAGTAATCAAATTTCAGTATGTAGGAAGGTAAACTATGAATGTGAAATGTTTACTGCCTCAAAAGTTTCCCTTCAGTCTCCTTATGCATATCTTGTATTGCCAATGAAATCAAAAAGATTTTATAAATAAAAAGTCAACAATGGGAGTAATTAAATAGAAAGCCATTGGTTGCGTAAGTAGTTTTAATGTAATATGCGAACGGGATCCTCACAAGACATCAAACTCAACGGAAACAGTTCCCAAAGTCGGCCCTTACAACCTGGCAAGTGACTCTATACTTATGAAACACGTTCGTAAAATGAACGCAGAATGTATGCGTACAGAACACAACAAATGGGGTCAAGTAGGTTAACTCTGCACTTCGTAGACAACGCTATCATCAGTTTATATCGATTATGTATTAGTGCACGGACATCCTTTCACTGCCCGACTGGTGGTGCCTTCCATCTGGCGAGGGGGCATCTACCCCATACCTGACTGACAACACAACGCGTCAGTAATGGTGGGACGCTTACAGAAATCGGCACGCCCACCGGTGAAGTCAGAGAGCAGACCTGCGCTTCAAATGTATGGATACTAAGAGCGATTGTTTTGAAGGCGAATCTAAAACGGACCATGTAATCTGAAAAATTACACCATGGCGCGTTTCGGGTCGCTAATTACGAATATATTATCAGAACTACTATCTTTACAAAATAGCGTAGCTAGATAACACGGGATCCAATGCCCAAATTTATAGTGCTGTGCTGAAACAAAAGTGTTGTTCCCAAAAACGATGTCAAACCATAGGTCATTTAAAAGCGTTACTGTTGGAGCATTATTTTTAAACATGGTGTAAAATATTTAGCAACATTACGTTGGAATTAGTCCGGCCCTGGCAATCTAAATGAGGTAAGTATTCTACTTGGACACCGCCATGTGAGTCCCAAGTAGTTACTAAGCTGTCAAATATTTGTTGAATTGTTCAGAGTCGTTCAAAAGTTATTTGAGAAAACCGATAGCGGTAAGGTGCTTGAGAGCCCTTTATCTCTGTAGGTTAGCCCCGTAGGACACTTTTATAATAACTTGTGGCATTAGTTTTGTGATCCATACCCATACGAGAGACTGACTTGTTATTCTGGGATGTATCACTGATTATGTTCATAGTTGCACCTTTTCTATTTAAAAAAAATGTCTGGCGATTATGCGCTTCGGTTTGTATTGCGTGATCACTGCAATCAGATTTGACCCTCTTGGACTTTATTACGTGAAGATCTCTCAAGAACAAAGACGCAATACAGGAATAGAGAGTTTTTGGTGCAATAAAAAGTAGCTAAATGTTAAGCCGTCCGTTACGTTATTTTTGACAGCAATAGCTAGTTTTTATGACTACTAAAGTGATCAGTGGTAATTTGACAGTACGACTGACAATCATAACAGGTTACTTATTTGTATTTTATTTTTTTTTTATTTGAAGCTAATCCCAAAATTTCAAAACCCTGCAAAAATGCATGGAAAATTTGGTAATAGTTGTGTTACGACTGCTCCAAACCGGTCAAGAAATGAATAGGTCTGGAATCATAAAACCACAGAACGACAAGTGACCACAAAATCAGCAGAACTCAGACAAAAAGCTACCTTTTCACATTGCATATATTGCTCATTTGGAAGAAAAGTGATCCAATATGAAAATTTTAGTTTTTTAGTTAAGTGTCAAGTCGTGGAAAAGCCACAAAATACAGTCTATTTTGATCAGAGAACTTCTCATATAGTTTCCTTGTATGAGCTTCGATAGATTCTAGTACTTACCGTTGAAAAATTGCATCAATAATACGATGACAAGAACTTTAAATCGCGTTTTCCCAACAATATAGATTTTTGAATTATGGCACTTTTCTTCCGGACAAGCGAATAACAGAAATGAGGACAATATAATTCATTTAGAATATTCCTAGTTCTGACTTTTCTTCTTATCTGTGATATAAAATTAATATTTCCATGATATTTCAACCAATATGTTTTGATAACATGAAATTATTTTAATTACGGTTTCCCAGTGTTACGGCAACAACGCTGTATAAGGAAAAAATAACCTTATGAAATAAGCACTCTCCCATGACTAACGAAACTAAATAAGAATTTAGATAACGAATAACGAAGGATTTTCTCTCAAGAGCACCAAAAACCCTCTAATATTTAGAAAGCGAAATACGCATTTCTATTTCTTTACTTTCATCAAAATATTTTTTCTAATATGTGTAGTTTTCTATTTTAATTTAGAAGCTACTGCTGTGGGGCTCCCTGTATTAAATTCAGGATTGTACGAGAACACTCTGTATATATACTTTTCTCAGAGTTTCTCAGACGCGTCTCTCAACGCACCGTAAAAGGACAACCGATCTTTCATCTGATTGCTTAAACTGTATTGTTTTTTCTATAAGAGAGAGAGAGCAATTAATTTATTTAAATAGCGAAATGAAATCAACGCGTCAGTTGCACACCGCCGATCTCCTTTCTACAAAAAGAAGTGAAGCGTAGACACAAAAAGATCATTAGTGAAAATGAACCAACAATAATTGAAGAAATAAATCGTGGCCGCTTCATTTGGTCTTTGATAATAGAAATCTCATTTTTTATTAATAACCCCTCTATGGAGCCTACTTTAAAATGTTATGTCAGGCTGTTGAACGTTATTACATTTTATAGGTACCTAATCGTGCAGAGAGCAGGTTTTCTCGGCATTTGACCATGAATGAGACAAAGCAAGGGCGTACCCAGAGGGGGCAAGAAAAGGCAGCTGCCACCCTTTTCCCCAACTCGGCAAAAATGAAATGGGGAGAACATTTTTTACAAAAAATAAATTATATCAGATGTTTCCCGATTTTTCAACGCAAATTCTACTCCACGTATTTTCGAATTGCGGATCTCGTGTTGCTGTATTTGGAGTTATACAGGTACAAAAGTGACTGGATGATTACAATTTGAAAAACGAAATGTGCCGAATTTCACAATACTTATAATATCATAATACTGGTACCACTAGACAAGGATTTCAAAATTTCTTCAAAATCCAGTGATACCTTCCAGGTTATAGATGGACCAATTATTAAATTCTTTTTTTCTGGCGGTTACTCTACCGTAACAGCACTGATTAACAAAAACTATAAATATTTTTTATTGACTTGACTGAAAAATTGGGCACTCTGAAGTTTGAGGGATATGTACGCCCAAAAAAAAGGAATATCAAATTTGCAGTATAGCAAATATTTGTCATTTATTATCTCACGTGTTGCTTTCAAGTATTGCAAACGACAAAATTATTACTTAAAAAAGCATTTTGTGCAATAGTTGCTTGAATGTTTCAAAAAAGTATTTCTTGTAGCTTTCCATATCTATATGAGTTGTCAAATTATCGTGAAAACTATATTATATAAATGGATAAAACAATAAAATGCAAATAGAAGGAAAAACAGCAGGCATAGTGGATTTGATTTGTGGAACTTCCAGCAACATTTTTTTCAAGGTACCCCTCCCTTTCCGTAATGAGCTGGGTACGCCCTTGAGAAAGGGCCACTAACCATTCCTAGATTTTACTTGCAGGTTGTTAAAGTGTAGCGAATAAAAACCAACTATTTGGATTTACTTGGTAATACATATAATATATGCTAAAAAATTTAGGAATACGACTAATAGGTTTCTTTACAAAGAGTTGGTATTGTTCCGACTGGTGTATCAGTTAGCAATAAGTCGCGATGAAACAGCTACTAGCATTGACAAAAAATTGTCAGTTTCGAAGATTTTCGCAATCCCTTCTTTATTCATCCTATTTTGAAGGATTACTTTTTTATATTGAGCTCTTATTCATGAATTTTTTATTGCCGCACAATAAGTAGTTATACATGTATTTTCGCGAGTGAAAGCATTCAACTGATCCAAAGTTAAACCAGTGGACTAGAGAGACAAACACATCATACGTTTCATGAGTTATAGTGCGTGTTCAAAGGTGCGATGAAAACAAACTTTGATTTTTATTCCATAAATAATGTTCGATGGAGTAGAACTATTGGGAGAGCACAACATTTGTTTTTATACTAGTTCCGCTTTAGATGAATAAGTTATAACTTTGTCATTGGTATCTCTATGTATATCTTGTATAACAATATTTTTCATGATTATGTACTTGCTATATCTCTTGTAGTTTTCTATATCATAAAAGGTTGCAAGGAAAATTTCCATGTAGCCGGAGCTTTGTTTATAATGTTGAACAAACAACAGTGCGATTATCACCATCTATTTGAGTTACTATTCTAGCCACCTGACTTGCATAACCCTGAACTTGTGTTTGCATATTATAAACTACAACAGTTAGCGGCGCCTGTCATGACAGAATTCATGTGATACGATTCGTTTCCTAATGAACGGCACAACAGAACATAAGCTATGGCTGATGTCATAGAATCCGCTATACATTACAAAACTTTTAAGGCACAGATTTTCAAGATTTGCACGCAATATATAAATTTCTAAAATTAAATGGCTTGAGGGTTGTTGAAATATCTCTTAGGATGTTGAAACTGTTTCCACGTGATTTCATGTCACATTCTACACATTAT